GCTGCCTTCTCTGCTGGGGCTGCGCAGCACTGAAGAGAAGCCCAGTGGCCTGAAGCTGTCCGTCTTTCCTGCCTCTCAGGGAAAGGCACCTGGGGCATCCCTTCCCTGAAGTTCAGCCCTGGCGGGTAAAGCAATGGGCTCTAGCTGGCAGGGCTACTCTCCAGTGCTGCATAGCCCCAGCAGTGAAGGCAGCTGGCTCCAGCATGTGGGGCTTCCCTCCCTGCTGTGCTAGTGCAGGGACTGTGCGTGAGTGGCAGGGAGTGCCAGTAATACAGACAGCAGTGCTGCCTGGAGCTGCACCCTGCCTGGTGCCTGTGCCCCAAGCAACCCGCCTGCTGCTGCACCATGGGGGGGGTCCCCACACCCCCCACCCTCTCACACCCTGCCCCCCAACTCCCCACATCTAAACACCCCACACCCCCCCATAATCCTGCCACACAGACATGCACACACCACACAATGTACAAAACTAAGCATTTATTTTGGACTTATTATGCACTCTCTCTCTCTCACACACGCACACACACATGCACACCATGACAAAAATATTTTTTGTAATCAAGCTTAAAATATGTTATAGTAGGTGTTTGACTTTTAGTGTTTTTTTCTGCTTCTAAAGTGGCAACCACCTCCCCCAGGAGTATTTGGGGGGAAGGGCAAGGGGAGGGACTTCCGTGGCAAAGATCAGGGGTTGGGGTAGGACTTCCGGTTTCAAGATGGCAGCAAGGGGGCGAGGCAACTCTGAAGGGATGGGACTACCCATGCAGCCCTCGATAGCTCACCAAAACTCGTTAAGTGGTCCTCAACCCAAAATAATTGCCTGCCCCTGCTGTAAAGTTTGGGTTCATGCTGGTCAGAAAATAGAGATTTATCCCTCTGAACATTTCCATAGACATAACTTTCTTTTAAATTTTCCGTGGAAATTTTGTTTTTTTGTCAAGTATCAAAAACTGAAATATTGAAAATAAAAATACTTTGATTCAAAACTAAACTTTATGGGAAGCATAACACAGATGCCTTACGCTTCTAATCTCTGTGGGCCAGGCTGTCCAGCCAGACTGTCTTCCATGTTGCACCACTTTCTTCCCTATAGGTAAGGTAATGGCATACCATAAGATTTCTACTATAGTCTGTTACGGAAGGGAATATTTGGTCAGAGAATGCAGCCTGTACAAGAGAACAAGTAACCTGACCTACAGCTCTTTTGAGGCATAGTGGCACTATTTTGAATCAAATTGCTTCGGTTTTCACAGGATATATTTTGGTTTGAGATGTTCATATTTGTTGACAATATATATATTGTCAAATATCTCTCTCCCCTCCCCCCAAAAGAGAACAGACAATTTTTTGGGCAGCAAGTGATCCATGTGCTTTTTTTCACTGGTAAAATTTGTCTCAAATTCTGAATTTAGCTTTATCTTCCAGCAGTGTGCTTTTGTTTTGCCTTTCTCCATTAGATAAAGAGCCCCTAATACTTGGTATTTTATCCCTGTTACTACCTCCTTATGTAGAATACCTAAGGATTTATCTTGGGACAGTGGACATGGATGTCTGCATTTTGGCCCCAGGATAAAATAATTTATCCCAGAGTAAATGTTATATCTGTTTAGAGTCTTACTGTAAGTATTTTTCTGCTAGCCATGAAATAATTTTTGTAGCTCTTTTCTGCACAATTTTTCAACATATTTGAAACCAAAACACTAGAACTGGATGCAGGATTCCCATATTTGGAAAGCCATTGTAGAGGTAAAATTGCATCCTAACTCAGTTCACAAATCCCCTGTTTATGCACCCAAGAATTTCATTAGTTGTTTTTGCTACAGTGTTACGTGGAAGTTTACAGCGAATTGCTCATCTGTCAGGACTACTGAGTTCCTAACTGTATAACTTTGCAAAGGATTCTATTCAAATTCACTTTGTTTGGATAGACCCAAACTACCAAATACTTCAGAATAACAAAAACATTCCTTTTCTTCACAGTAGTTTAGTATCAAAGTGAATAGCACATGTTAAGTGACTGTTGCCCTCATACTGATGGAATTCTGACTTGGGGAAACTTCATCTGCCTACAAATAACTGTTTTATTAATGACATGGTTGACCGTGTATTTGAACATGTTTCATGAAGATCACGATTGTTGCAAGTCTTGTTGAGCTTGAAATGGCATTGTTAGATAAAGGTTTACATAATTGTAATAAATCATGCCTTGAAATGTGCTTTTCATTAAAGCAGCATTAATATTAATAACAAAACATTAATTTCAGCAGCACACTTCATCAGGATGTTGAATCACAGAAATTTACAATGGTACACAGATATATAATGTTGCAAAGAGGAGAATTTATGCCAACACTGGGATTTGTTAGCTCAGATTGACTTCTTTTTCCTAACACGTTAATTTGTGACTCAGCAAGATTATCTAAGACACTTGCTTTTCAGTGGAGAAATCCCCTTTAACATGATTTGTATCTTAAGTGTTTTTTCAACTCAATGCTCACTGAGGGCGCACCCAGACCAGCACACACATATGTCTTGCAGCATCACAAACTGCATGCGCCGCATATGCAGGCATTGACCACGCTGCTAGCTTGCAGTGGGAGATACCAATGTCAAAAAAACCTGTATCAGAAAAATATGGGGTGGCCCATGTGGCAGCAGCAAGTGTCACCTGAAACTGGAAACTGGCCAGCCAGGGCCATGCTCTGGCTGCCAGCCAGGCTTTGCATGTCTGGATTGCTGCTGCTGGAGCACCACGAGGCCCCCATGACCCCAGGTGCTGGCCCCAGCCTCCCCTACCCTATCCAGAGCATTTTTCCCCACACTAATCCCATGTCCAGGAGTGTGCACCTGGGCAAAAAGCAGTGGCACAAATGTGTGTTGCTTTCTTCACCACGGCAACCACGTGTCCCTGCCTGTGTGGATGTGGCCTCTTGGTAAATCTCATCCTTTGTACAGTGGGCCAGCATGAAGGATACAGGACTTCAGTGGTACAACAGTCCCCTGCTGGCCTATTGTTCAGGGAGGGATTTTTTTAACCTCTTTTGAAAGACTAAAGAAAGTCAATATCATTTACTGTGCATGTCTGTTAAACAAAATAAAAACTTTGTCAGCTTAACCTATTGGTCTAGGTCTTTATTTCAAAAAGAGAGAGAATGTCTTTATTTCAGTAAGAGAGAGAATGTTAGCTTTCCCTGTAGTTAAGCACACACTGAAGTGCTTTCCTGAGTGAGGATCTTGGGATGGGATTTTCAAATGTGCCTAAGTGATATAGGAGCACAATTTATCTTTGAAAATCTCACCCTTAATTTAGAATTTCCTATTGCTGTATGTTTTTACTGGAATATCTCTGGTTTAAAATGAGAGAGATTGAAAATGTGTCTTACTTTACCATGTTGTCTAGGGAAAATGAAGAAGGATGTGAATGTATGAAAGTGTATACCAGATCATACCCATCAGCATCTAAACTGAACCAAAAGAGACTGATTCCATAAAATTATAAAATAAATTGACAGAAGTAGCAGGGATTTAAGATCCAGGACATATTTCTCTACAATGAAAATTTAAAATCTAAATTGGAATGAAATAGTGCTGTAGACAATGTGATAAAATGAGTGATGGAACTCAGTAATGTTCTCATTAGTCCTGTATTGCTCTTCCTTCCATTTCAGCTTGAATCCTAACATGTTTTTTTTTTTTGTTCTTGCTATTTTCAGGTACCTGTAGTGTATGTGTGATATACTACTGTGTTGACAGGCATACTAAGGAACTTCTGATCTAAAATACATACTCTTAGGACATGTCTACATGAGACAAATTAATACACATTAGCTTAATTTAATGAGCATTACAGGTGCGTATCTACACGTGTGCACACTTGATGTGCATTACAAATGGCGAAATTAAGCTACTCACTCCTAAATTGGATACCTGTGAATGCTGGTATCAAATTTTGGCACGATTGGCTAAAGTGCATTAATGACATTAACTTTAGTGCTGGATCTGCCCAGCCACTAGGGGCACATGGCAGGGCTGCAGGGACTTGGCATTAAGTTTAGTTAATTTCTACAGACTTCAAACTTTTTATTTGCTAAATGAATGAATACTCTTGATTCAGTTCTGGATTTATTCCAATGTCATTGCATCAACATATGTTATGAGTGACACAGTTATGAATCAGGCCTTTAGTTTCTAGCCCCTATGCTTGACACAATAATTTTTCAAATGTGAATGAAAGCCCTACTGTTTTCCTGAGTCTACAGGTAGGTAATACAACTGCTCATAGCAATTCCCTTGCTACAGTGAAATGATAACAGGACTTTACCTAGCCTTCCTTGAAAGGCATCAGATTTATCAAGCACTGTCATTGATTCACTGTTGTCATGAAACACCTGCTTGAGACATTACTGTGGAAAGAACTACTTTCCTTTCACCTGTCTGCAATTTGTAAGGCAGGTGCAGGGGTGGTGGGGGGGGGTCTGGTTTTTCTAAGGGCAATGTATTGGTAACATTGCAACTAGCCCCTGGTCTTTATTTTTTAGTGGTTGGCTAGTAAGTGTTTTAGTGAATTTTTTCAAGCCCTGCTACATAGTTTTTGTATTATCATTACCAGTCTGAAATCAGGCCATATTGCTGTGACCAAATATTATATTTCAAGCTGGCTGGTTGGGGACCTCAGTCTGATTTCTAGTGTATAAACTGTCACAGAAACATCAAGCGCTGCAACATGTGGCCAACTAGTCTCAAGCAAGAGAAGGCCAGAACTGAACTGACATCAAACTAGTCTCTCTACTGCTTCCTGGTCAGAGTGGCTGAAGTATGAGGAAGACTGAAAGTTTATCGGTTCTAACCATAATAGCATGAAATAATTATTTCCAGAAAGGAATATGCAGGGAAGGTTAAATCTTCTTAATGAAGTGTAAATAGCTGTACTGCTGGTGGTGTCAAGAGGCAACGCTTCTAACTGCGTACATTGTGATTTTTCTCTTTTTGCACATAACCAGGACGCAGATGGCATGCATTTACACTACTGGTCACTGTTTGATGGACATGCTGGATCTGGGGCAGCTGTTGTAGCATCTAAACTGCTCCAGCACCATATTTTGGAGCAGCTGCAGGAGATTGTGGACATCATGAAGAACAGTGCAGTTCTTCCCCCAACCTGCCTAGGAGAGGAGCCGGAGAACATGACAGCTAACAGCAGAACTCTGACTAGGGCTGCCTCCTTGCGTAGTGGGGTTGGGGCTCCAGGCTCACCCAGCACCCCTCCAACACGCTTCTTTACAGAGAAGAAGATACCGCATGAATGCCTTGTTATTGGGGCCATTGAAAGTGCATTCAAGGAAATGGTAGGTATATTCCAAGGCTGATTGCTTGTTTTTTTGTTTAATGAACCAAGTAGGTTGGAAGAGATGAATTTCTTTTCACTTGTTCTTCCATTTGCAGTTAGATATTTATCTGGGCTCTTCACAGTCTTAATGCACTTATCTTCACAGTTCCTTTGGAGATAATAATAGCACTTATTCTGTTTTGGAGATGAGAAACTGAGTCTATATGACCTACCCAAGGTCACACACAGATGTAATTGAATGCCATGCCTCCTAAGTTCCAGGCTGCTGGATCATCCTTTGTCACATTGTTGCACAACCTACAAAAGAGGCTTTTAGAAGCTTGCTTAAAAAAAAAGGAAGTGTGTCAATGTCCACAATAGTTTATTTCAGCTTCCAGTAGTTAAATAAACTCATAAAATCTATATTTTCATTTATTAAAGAAGAAATAAAACTTAGGCATGGTCTTCATAGCCTTCCTCCATAGACTGATGTGGGAGGACGTCTTACAGTAGGGTGGTCTGGATCAGAGGAAACACACTTGATTCAGTGACCTTTGTTCCTAGTGCCCATGAGGAAAGGAGCAGTGACAGTAGAGGCAACTTGCATGGTCACTGTGCACCCTGGTCCATCATTGTAGGGGTAAAATTCAGTCCATCCTTATTTCACTTGCCTGTAGTCTGGATATTTATGATGAAATCCTGGACCACTGATATCACTAGTTACATTTTTATGCACTTCTGTGGGACTAGGATTTCATTCTTGAGGGTTTATAGTGATAAAAAGGATTCTGCTTTGTGTGTTCCAGCTCTGCAAACTCTTGCCACTGTTTAATTCCCCCCCAACTTATGAATCAAAAGCTAATTTATTGACTCACTGTAGCCACAGGCTCAGCCTGGGAAATAGGATCCATGCACCTGGGTTGTTGCTGCCTCTTGGAGCCCTCCTCAACCTAAAGGCTGTCCCCAGAATAAGATTTTTGCAGTCAGGACCTGGCAACACTAGTTGCTGTTGCTATTAGTTGCTTAATTATCAGCCTGAGAATGCTCATAGTAAAGACTATGAGTTAATAGTATAGGCTATGCCTGATAGTAAGTATTTGCAGGATTGGGCCCTTGGAAATTACTTGCTTACACATTTTAGGAAAATCATTCTTTTTATGCTAAAAATTGTAAACAAATGGGTGTTTCCCAGAGGTTTTATTTGCAGGCTGCTAATGTGAAGTACAGAGGTAGTCAGCTATGTTTTTTTTCCTCATACACGGGAATTAGTTTTAGTGCGCGCATCTAATTAGAGACTGCAGTAGTTATTCCAACAAAGAACGCTCTCAGTCCCCAAAGCAGCACACAGCTCTTTACAGATTATTGTAGAGTTGGCAATATTCAGTGCAAAATACACTTTTGAATATTGTTTTGTTATTATTACAAAACACACTCATTCAAGTTGCCTAGGATGGGCTGTGTTAAAATTAGTGTTACACAGATTTTACGCCACAATATAAGATATCATAGAGAAGCAGGGTTGGAAGGAACCTCCAGAGGTCATCTAGTCCAGCCCCTTGCCTGAGGTAAGATCAGCCCTGTCCCAACTGTCCCATACAAACCATAATGTAAACTCTATACAAGACTGCTGTCAAGCCTGGCACAACACAGACCTAACATCCTAATCTGCCACAGGTAAATGAGAGGGCAACAAGAGTAGCGAACATCCTGCTTCTATGAAATGTCAATGTATGCTGAAGAGATCCCAGATAGAAGGCCATGCCACTCTTCCCCACAGAGGAAAGCACACCCCCCAGAGTGTATACCAATCTGACAATGGGGTAAAATTCCTTCCTGACACTAAGTATAGTAATTGGTCTGATCCTGAGTGGAGGAGCAAGACCCTCTAGCCAGGAACCATTGGTTTTGGTCCCAATAGGACCACTGGCACACCCTAGTCAAAGTCCTCAGCTTTGCCTATAGCCAACACTCAATGCCTCTGAGGAAGGCTTGAAAACATCCTGACACATGTAGCAGAAAGGAGGGGAGGGGCAACCAGCAAAGCTCAGAAGCATGGAAAATGCTCATAGTAGAACATAGGCCTATCTATGCCTAGATCATCCCCAACTAGGAGCTGTCCAGCCTCATCTTGAACACCTCTACTGATGGAGAGTCCACAATTTCCCTAGGCAATCGTTTCCACTCCTCACTGTTCTAAGTGAAGATGTTTTTCCAGATACCCAATCTAACTTACTTTGCTGCAACTTCAAAGCAGTGGTCTGCATCCTCTCTGCAGCAAGAGAAAAAAGGTGCTTTCCTTCTATATGGCAGCCCTTTGAAGTATTTGAAGACTGCTATCATGTCCCCTTTAAGTGCCTTTTCTAGAAGCTGAACTCCTAGCTCCTTCAGCCTAGCTCCTTCAACCTCCTGTCATATGACTTGCTTTCTGAGCCCTATGTCATCTTTGTTGCCTGCCTCTGGACCCTCTCTAACCTTTCTACATCACTTTTAAAATGTGGAACCCAGGACACAGTACTCCAAATGAGGCCCAACCAGTGCCAAGTAGATGTGCTGTCACCTCCTGGGTCTTGCATCTGGTACTTCTTTAGATGCATCCCAAAACCACGTTTGCCTTTTGTGTAGCTGCATTACACTGCTGACTTGTATTGAGTCTGTGGTATACCAAGACTCCCAAGTCCTTTCCTATAGTACTGCTGTCCAGCCAAGTGTCACCCATTTTATATTTGTGTTTTTTGATTATTCCTCCTAAGGTTGTAGTACCTTGCATTTTTGTCCAATCTGTTGAGATCCTTCTGAATTGTGCTTGTATCCTCCAACATGTTCACAATCCTTTCTGGTTTTGTGTCATCTGCAAACTTACTCAAGAAGCTTTCTATGCCAGCATCTAAACCACTAATAAAACATGATGAACATGATGAACAGCACCAGGCCCAGGACAGGCCTCTGTGGGACTCCATTTAAAACCCTTCTGCCATTCTGACATGGACCCTTTGTTAATCATTAGCCTTTGCTTGTGGCTATTGAGCCACTGCTCTATCCACCTTAGAAAAGTTTTATCTAGCCCAGATTTCTCCAATTTGTTTATGACCTGGGGGGGGGGGGGGGGGGGGGAATATGGCCTGTGGGCTGCATCCAGCCCACCAGGCAATTCCCTCTGGCCTACAGGGCCCTCTGGAAGCCCTGGCCCTGGGCTGCCCCTCTGATAGCCAGCAGCTCTGAGCTGGGGGGTGCTAGAAACAAGACACCTCTACCTGGAAGAGCTTTTGCCTGGTCACCCCATGGTTCCCACCAGGGCAGGGCCAGGGACTTGCACTATGGGGCCAGGCAGGGCTGGCCCCACTCAGTGCTGCCACATGCAGCTCCAGGGAATTGCACACTCCAGGGACCCCAAGGACCCCTTCCCCCACACATACACACCTGCACCCTCCCACAGGCCCTGCACATACTCCCACAGTCACCATCCCAGCCACATACCCTACACCCCCACACCCCTCCATACACACCACCACTCCCTAATCACACCCCCACACATGCACCCTCTTACCCTCCCCCCACACAATATACAAGGTTAAGATTGTATTTTGAGCTGTTACACAAGTGCTTCTAGATACACTATGCAAGCACGCATAAAGTGGGACAAAAATATTTTGTTAAATAAAATTAAAATTATAGTAGATGTTTGGGGGGGGGTTTGTTTTGTTTTTAAAGTAGAAGATTAGTTTGTTTGTTTTTTCTGGTTTTAAGGTGCCAAACCTCTCTTCCCAAAAGGAGTGCTTCCAGGGTAAGGAGAGGGATTTCTGGTGTCGAAGGTCAGGGACTAGCGGGTGGGACTTCCAGTGCCCAAGATGGTGTCAAGGGGCAGAGCTACTGTTGTGGCCCTCGGCAGTTCACCAAAACTTGTTAAGCAGCCTTCCAGCCGAAATAATTGCCCACCCCTGGTTTATGAAAAGGTTGTGTGGGATTTTGTCAGAAGCCTTTCTGAAATCCAGATACACTGTATACATAGCATTTCCTTCATCCACCCAAGTACTGTTACTTTCTCAAAGAAGTAGATCAAGTTTGCTTGACATGATTTGTTTTTTATAAATACATTCTGGCTGCTTGGGATCAGCCCTTCCTCCTTGAGTTGTTTGCAAATGGCCTTCCTTAAAATATGCTCCATTAACTTCACAGGTATTGAAGTGTGGCTAACTGGTAAGTAGTTACCTGTGTCCTCCTTCTTGCTTTTTTTTTTTTTAAAGAGGGACATAATGTTGGCCCTTTTCCAGTCCTCTGGTATTTGGCTCATCTCCCATAATTTCATGAAGATCATTGCCAAAGGCTTTGAGATCTCCTCTGCCAGTTCCTTCAGTACCCTGGGATGAAGTCCGTTTGGCCCTGCTGATTTGTAATTAATTCAGACCCAGCAAAAGCTCTCTGACTGTCTCTTTCTTTTGTTCTTCATCTTGCCCACTTCCTTATCCAGCTAATCCTTATTAGACATCTGGCTGCAGCTTAATTTTTTTTGTGAAGACTCAGGCAAAGTAGCTGTTGAGTAGATACTCCTTTGTATCTTCAGTTAGGAGTTCCCCCTGGCCTGTTAACAGAGGACCCACAGCTTGCTTGATCATTCTTTTCTGGCTAACATACTTATAGAACCTCTTCTTGTCCTTAACTTCCTTTGCCAGATGCAGCTCATTACATAGATACATACATAGATGCTAGGGTTGGAAGGGACCTCAACAGATCATTGAGTCTGACTCCCTGCCTAGGCAGTGAAGAGTGCTGGGGTTAGATGACCCAGCCAGATGCCTATCCAGCCTTCTCTTCAAGACCCCCAAGGTAGGGGAGAGCACCACCTCCCTTCTTTATCTTTGCCTTCCTGATTTTATTCCTGCAGGTTTTTGATGTTTTTTGGTGTACTTCCTTGGTGACTTGCCCATTCCTACATTGCCTGTCAGCTTTTCTTTTGCGTTTGAGACATTTTAGAAGCTCCTTGTGCAGCCACACTGGTCTCTTGCCATTCTTCTTGTGCTTCCA